CTCGTGTGGGGGGGGGGGGAGAGATTATAAAATAAGTCTTTTTTATAAAGTTTTATTTACGAGGAAATCCGATAAATATTGAACAAGTAATGATTTATCCTCGAAGTATTATTCTCTATTTTAATTTATACGACTTTCAACGACACTAAGTCGTAAATCAAATGAAGTAGATTCGATAATTCAATAATAGCTATCAGAATATAAATAAAGATACAAATATTCTATCAAAAAATGTAATTTAATATAATTTATATATAATTTCAATCATTTCGACAAATCTTCGTCGAAGGTAATAACAATTCTTTATTATTAACCAAATTATTTTTTATTTTTATAACAATCCTAAAATTTTTCGCTTTAAATTTTTTTCCTTTTTTAATTGTATCTTTATTGATACATATTATGCTTCGAAAATTTTTTTATCGGAGAATCCATCTTTTATGAGGATTCTACTATTATATAATTATGCAAATAAATGACTTTTTCTGTGCTGTGTGTGTTACGCTTATATTTTTATCTGTATTAAAAACTTGTTAGTGTAGATTATACTAGACATATGTATTTCGTTTACTCAAAATGATCGTTTAGAATAACTCCAAAATTATCGGCAAAAATAAAATATGCAAATTCATGTTGAGCAACATTAACGCGAAGGAAACTGGCGCTCGCGGCCCTTCCCGTCATTCGCTGCGTGAGTTTTTACGCACGCTTTGTGGGACGACCGGTTTCGCGCGTAGGGGTGAGAGGCCTTATCTAAAAGCCACGAAAGAGGTACTAGACGAAGTACTCTTTCGCTGCTCCCGTTCGTTAATTCCTTTTCTACCGATAATCCACTCGAGGCTCGTCGAGTTTTCGACTACGTACGCCGCGCCTCGACTTCGAGAGATCTACAAACAGTCATTTACTTCTGCTTCGCGAGCTCACACGGGATGTATGATGTAGGAATTGTGTGACGTAGATTTTCTAAATCCGCGCTTATGCGGAATTTTAATCCCTTCCCGTGTAAATTGATCTCCTTTCGCGATTCTTTTTTCCGCTCAAATGTTCTAAGTTTCAACGCGAGGAACTAGACGCGTCGAACAGCTGATCCAGCATTTTTAACATATTGGGTCTTCAGGTGTAAGCATTGTTATGAAATGACTTTTTTGTATACGTATAGTGAAGAGAGTTTGATTTATTTCATATATATTATATAATAGAAGATGCATTTTATAATATTGAGATTGCGAAACAGCCACTATGGCTCATTGATTTTTTCGATTAGATTTGATATACTTTTAATTAAGAATCATCAGTGACTATTCACTGTTTTCAGTAAGAATACAGTGTTCCCTTTAAGAGAGTATAATAAGTATAATTAAAGAGTTTCTTGGTCTGTACATATTTTCTATATAATAAATATAATATGTTTTGATGTGTATTTGAATTTGTTATATGTGTTAAAATTATCATTTTTAAAACATTTACTATAGCTTCATATTATACCAACAAACTACATTTTTGAAATACTTTTGGCAATTTTTTCTCTCTCTCTCTCTCTCTCTATTTCTCCCAAAATACAATATTTATAAAAACTTTTATCTCTGTGTTTATGTTTATTTTTATATTTTATAATCAATGATGAGACAGTGGCTGATTGTTCAATGATAAAATCTTGCTGTCATAATCAGTGAAACGTAAAACGGAGAAGTAAAGTGTAAGTGATCACTAATCTTCGGTGAAATCTTGTCACTGTTTTAATCAGTGACATTTTCATTGATTCAATTTAAGAGAGTCCGTCTTGATACGGACGCGTCGCACATTTCCAATTCCGATAATCACGTAAAATACATTGTACGTACTTTATTATACGTGAACTTGCGTGAGGTAGATCCAACCAGACTGCGTGCGCTCGTGAAAGATTCGAAACGATCGAAAGCGGCGAGCCGACGCGCGCGCAGCGAATTGTTATTTCAAGGGAACTGCCGTCCGTCAGTCCGTTTGTCCATCGCTCCCGCCGCGATGCGATGTGTAAACAGGGAAAGTTAAACAAGATAGGGATATATAACTGCTGTGTACGTAAGAACGCGGCGCGCAGGCATGAAATTCAAGGCTAACAATGTCGACCTCGAACGACAAGCGCTTTGATGTGTGAATTTTGTCCATTGAGTTCTAGCATCTCTTCCATCGCTAATATTGAAAAGAGAGAGAGAGAGAGAGAGAGAGCGAATTTTCGAGCGGTTTCACGTAAATAAAATCAAATTTTATTTTACGGTACAGGTATTCTGTAGAATTTTTGACAACGCTATGAAATAAGATCCTCTTTATAGCCGCACAGTTATTTTAATTTCGCAAATCTGTTTGCACGCGATAAACACGCAAGGGAGTGCTGGTTAAAACGAGATGACTCATTTATGTAATGTGTCAAATAATTCGTGAATGATCCTTTATATATATACATAAAATTGCAGTATAATATATATATATAA